ATGTAATACATACTGTTAAAGAGTCAGACAGATCCATAATTTGAAAAGTGAGAGGCTGAATAGAAGAAGGTTGGACAAGGGAATATTGATTAAGGATCTTCCCTGTGACACACATTTAGCAAATAATATAAGAAGATCCTCTTTTATGGTTTGACCTGTGCTTATCTAAAATATCACACTGAGGGAAATGCTGAGATTAGTCATGTTGAAGGAAGGGGTGGTGGGGAAACTGCAGCTGACCAAAAAATAATGGTTTGTGTTCAAGCATGAAATAATAGATGCAAGTCATGTTGCATGTGCTCTGTTACCATTGAGTTCAGCTTGTATTTCCTCATCAGTCATTTCTTCCTGAACACAGTTTATCTAACATATCAACAGAAAGTCCAGATTTATTCTCATTTCCATGACTTGTCGTTACAACTTTAATCGAAAAGTTAAAGTTATTATAAAACATGATAAGTTGGAGTATTTTTTCCCAATAAAAATCACTGTCTGTTTTTATTGAGTAATCACTGTTTTATATCTGTTTATGAGTCAGGTTTTATTGGCTGTTTCACACAGACGTTAAGCTGTTCAGTCATAACGGATTCAGTTTGGCTCACCATTACTCATCCACACTAAAACAAACAGAACATATCAGGCTAAAACATGAATGAGCCATGGGCCAAAAGCCCTCAACTTTGTAGCAGAATCTGATGACTGATGTTACTGTATGTACAGTGTAAAGCGATATTCCAAGATCTCTCACTTTATTATTTTATTAATTAGATTTAAAAAATAAAGGTTGAATGTATGTTTAGGAGATGTGGGTGGGGTGGGGGGGATACATGCAGAGGGGTTGCTCAGCTTGGCTAGGAAGTAAGAAAGGGGGCGCTTTGAGGAAAATAGGCTGGAAATCACTGGTTTTAGAGAATGACTGTGAGCAACTACATTAAGTTCTAACCATTTTTGTGTTACTGAACTATATTTAGATATTTTGCTAACAACATCACAGTACACACGCACACGCACGCACACACACACACACACACACACACACACACACACACACAC